ATCCGCTGCAACAACTTGTCCAATCATGAACAAATACCACACGCCTGGCCGATCGATAGGTGAATCAACTCAAGGCGTTCACGATCGTGTTCGGGCAGGATGTGGGAAAATAATGCAGGTCAACGCTCACGTATAACTCCTTCTAACAGTATGTTTGCTACGCCTCTGTTTGGATAAAATCTCGTTGCTTTTGATGAGTTTAGNAATGCAGGTCAACGCTCACGTATAACTCCTTCTAACAGTATGTTTGCTACGCCTCTGTTTGGATAAAATCTCGTTGCTTTTGAATGAGTTTAGCTATAATCCCATACCGTATGCTTATACGTTCTTCCTATTGATCAACCATTTGTGTAGAAAATAATCTTACAACACAGATGCCACCAGCGCATTGCGCTGGTCTCTTTGAGAAGTGAAGAAACGGTAAACAAACTGCTCCTTGCCACGTTCGTTTATCAGGGCTTCAACGCAATTTCACCTGATCTATAGGGCAAATGGGACAGAATGGGACTTGCAGTATCATTTCGGCATTGGATTAACTTCTGAGCCCGTAGTAAAGAGCCACGGAAGCTGTAGCCGTGAAGTCACGTAGTTTACTGGTAAGTCTCATTCAAGCTGCAGTCGTCGCGATGTCCACAAGCAACGATCAGACATGATCTCATTCCGTGTATCGCTGCAACTGATGTAGGCTTCCGCGGCTCTGTCAGATTATCAGGCAGTCAACTCCCAGAAAGTCGATCTTCTCCTTGTCTTACAATGGTGCTGAGGGCGTGGTTGATTTCAAGGTATCAGCTCTATCACAATGATTACAAAAACAGTAACCAAACTGGCAGCTGTGACTGCAGAGCGACTGAGAGGATTCACTACAAAACTGAAATGAAGACTCTGAGGCGTAATTTCCGCACTGTCCACAGAAAGAAGTCAACAACTCGGTCCTTTCTCAGTTCAGTGTCCCAAAAACCGTATGCAAATCGAGTAGCGCTGGGAAGAACTGAAGAAACAGAACGAACACCACCCATTAGACGTAGGTGTCTCTCCCGATGTCTAGAAACGCGCGATACACTAGAACCACGTGCCTTGTGTACACGTTCATATACGCCATTGGAAATCCTCAATCAGAGCTCTATAATGTCAACAAGGAAATCTCGCTGACGCTGAGTCACAAGAAATCGGACGGAATTTCGATGGAGGCAAACTGTTCATACTAAAATGCACTTTCAAGATAAAGTTTGATAAACCATCGATCAATTCTAGTCTCTTTGTGGTCGTCTATCATGGTCCCTGAGAAAAGCGCATATTCCGAATTCAGCCAAAATTAGTGTCCCTTGTTTACTTCCTTATCGAATCATACTTCCAACATGCGAATCGACAGAAGGACCGTCCTCAATCACGGCGTAGTTCGAGAACTACACTTATTTGCAAGCTAAGTTTGGTTCACGTAGAACATAATGCTGATTGGGGGAACCTCGGAGACCAGGCCTATCTTATGAGTTTCCAGAATGGTGGGCAAAACCCGTCTTGGGCTGCCGAACAGTTGTCAGCAACTTTAAGAGTGGTGCTCCGTAAAGAATAGTTCTCATCCACGTCAAGCAAAGGGTCCAGGACGACCTTGGAGGACACTGTCATCGAGGTGCTTCATCCTTACAGCGCACAGACAGGAATTCCGCGAGATACAGTGCTTTTCCGGGATGACACCCTAAAGAAATGAAAAATTGCCATGATGCCAAATGGACTGTTTACTCCTTGGGGGTACTAGTCTGAAGTCAGGGTATATTCTACTTACGGCGCTTCGATAGTCCAGTTATCTGGGTATCTGTCAGGTGAGAACTTTGATCTGTGGACCGCAAATGAATGGCAACTGCGTGAGATAGTGAAAGCCCACAAGCTCAGAATGGTGTCACCAGTTTAAACTGGTTTGTAACCAATTTCGGTGTGCCAATTGACAGAAAACAACAGCTAAACATCGTTAGCTTCTCTCATTTCTGATTGACAGACAAGACAAAGCATTCCTTCTCTCTTTCCAGTCTACTAAATGGACCGCAGTCTACCAAATTGTTTCAACCACCTATTCGAACGGGGCGCTGCAACCTATTGTCCAGAACTGGGTCAGCTAAGGCGCACTGGCGATGTTAGCTGTGAGTGTGGCACTGGTCTGAACAGTTACGTCTTGTGGCACCAAAGTACTTAAACACGCTATTTTCTGACGGGTTACAGTTAGCATTTCAGCCACGTTAATGTTCGCTGATGTGCTGATGTGCTGTTCTGTGGTAGTCAGTGACCGAACTCTGCCATCCCGGAACTGCGGCCCAATTCGCGCACCAGATAAACCTCTCTGACTCCCCCTTTCAAATCATGATAGACGTTCGTTCCGAATTTCCGGCAACTGGCAAAGTGAAGTGGAGAAAAAACGTCCCTTGTCCGTCAAATTTTGACACCCCTCATGTGGTTGACGTCATGGACTACATCCACGAGCGTGTGGTGTGGAGAAAATTGCGTCTGTTAGCCCCCAGAAAAACAATCTATGTGGTCAAATTCGTGTGTTTGTGTTTGTGTGTGTTTGTGTGTGTATGCACTTTTCGGATGTGAACCACTCTACGTCCTGGTTCAACAATCTTTTGGTTAGCTGTTGTGGCGTCTCTGCGAATTGGTGTGGTACACTCTTGAATATCCGATTTGTAGGGTTGAGATCAGCTGGGTCACTTGAAAACATCAGCAGAGTACTGGAGGTTGCGAAGTGACCCACCTGATGGACAGGTTGTCCTGAGGTGGCAAGCCTTATTCCGGATTCTCTCGGCATAGATTTTTCGCTCCAGGTTGTAACTCTTAAGGGTGAATCTTTTGTCTTACCTGACTTTTGTCCATGACTCCAGGTAACCCCTCCCCCCGCCCGTGAACGAACCTTCCCGACTAGTAAGGAAGTTCACAGACATGACAAACTATTAATCATAACTACAGACTTGCTGTTTTCCTTCGCCAGGGCCGTTGAGCAAGCTTCGCGGTCAACGCAGTCAACTGGTGCTCTGATGCCCACGACAATAATCCCACTGAAGCTCATGGACAGATAATTGCAAAATAACATGAATACCAACCAAGTTTTCGTCTTATCTGTTTAACCAATCTACGCCAAAAATCCGATAAGTATTGTACCACATTTGTTTGGCATTTCTAGTTGAAAAGGCGTGGCTCTCATGTCGGTAGATGATACTCCAGTGTTTTATCTTCTAACCTAGACAGTGGACGAACTCCAGTCGCTATGTGGATGTTTCAACCGTACTTGTCAAAGATTACAGTGGATAATCATTGTAATAGACATACGACGAGTCCAAAGTATCGGATCCATCGGCCACCTCAAATGCAACATTTGAGTGAGCGGCGTAATCAAGTCCATTGAATGGAGAGTCCTAGAAAAGGTTTGTAGGAGCGCACAAACGCCAGATTACAAAAGTATTCCACAGAATTGTGCGATCACAATCCCGTGAACAGTAAGACCGGTGGTTGACCTTCACGAGATTCATCGGCGTCCTTATGTGAAGACAACACCTGGTGAATGACGGCTAACGGAACTTACTTTCATCTCCAACCTAATCCAGACAGGTAGACGCGCGCTAGTCTATCGATTATCTTTGTAATCTCGTCGCATTACCAGTAGCGAGACGAGCGGCTAAAAATAGCGAAAGAGACGAGTCGCGTCAGTTGACGTAGAACGGGTTTGTTGCAAACGTTTCGGTCCAAGGTCATTTGTGGAAATTCTAGTGGTATGAGAAAGCATGCTTATGTCACTTCCGATTAGTTTTCACCGCCCTGAGACGCTCGAAAAGAAGGACTGTTTGTGTCCGGAAAATATATTGGCCTCTGCAACTCCGTCCTGAGCCCTAAGAACGGTCTTATATTGATTCAGCTTTATTGGAAACAGGGCGAAATGAATCAGAACAGAGTGGCAGGTTGGTTTGCTACGTCTCTACAATGTAGTGGGATCCTAACGTATCATACTAACTGTAACATGAGGCTACTTGGTGCGGCACATTCGATTGAAAAACATCATAAACGAGGGATTTACTTGAGTCTTCCATGAAAACCAAATTCATTTGCAAATGAGTGTATCTGTCGAAATCAGTCCAATTTAAGTTCAAGTAGAACATAAGATTGACGGTGGAAACTCGGGGACTGCGCCCACCGGATAAGTCTCAAGAAGGCTGAAACCGGTCCTGGGCTGTCGAAGAGTTTTCAGCAACCTTGTGAGTAGTTTCACTTCAACTTTTCTTCAATTTCAGAAGTTGTACGTGCCTTGACTTTATTCTAAACACAGTTGCCAAGATGTTTTTTTTAAAAAAAAACTTGCACCCCTGGCTACCGTTGGTTTCAATATTCTTGATGAAAGCAAAGTGTTCATCTATGGGCTGCCTGCATCGAAGCGGCGCATCGGACAGTCATCGATTTTTCTGTATGGAGAAATTATTCGCAGTGCACTTTGTTGCCCCACTCTGGGGATTTCAGAAATCACTCCACCTACAGTGGTTCCCCATTTAGTTGTCTCCCAGTAGCGGCCTCCCATACTAAAAAGACTACTCTGTCTCGGGAACTTCACCATCATATTCATGAACAATTGGCAAATCAACAAAAGAAAGCCTGGAAACTGTTGACGGTTTTTGACCCTACCAATGTCACCGTTGAGCTGGTGCGTGTGTGTGTGCTGAGATTGCTGGACAGGACAGTGATACCCACGAAGATTGCAGTTCCAGGAACGTCAAAATTCATATGAGCTCAAAAGTAACCCTTCAGTCAACTTGCCGTCCAAGGCCACGATTGAACGTCTCAGCTTCGGGGTCCACGACCATCAGACAGTGGTGAGCTGTCTAAGAACTTCAAACAGTTGCTTTTGTTGGGTGAGCTGTCTAAGAACTTCAAACAGTTGATTTTGTTATGCAACTTGCACAAGGGAAGGCGCAGTCACCGAGTTTCCGTCAACCTTATGTTCCACTTGAAACCAAACTGCACGAAATTAGCGTAATGCACCCATTTGCAAACTAATTTGGTTTGGCGTGAGGCTCACATGGAACCCAGCTGAATCTCTCGTTTGTGATGTGCCCCGGCAACCACTGTATGTGCTGCACCAGGTCGCCAAATGTTTCAGTTGCTACGATATACGAGATATCACGGTACATGTTGAAAATTCGTCGACAGCCCACGACCAGTTTCGCCCTTCTTCGGGTTGGCTCATCAAGTAGGCGCAGTTCTTGAGATTTCGTCAACCTTATGTTCTACCCAAATTGCACGAAATTAGCGAAATACACTCATTTGTAAACAAATCTGGCTTTGCGGGAAACTCACCTGGAACCCAGCTGAATCTCTCGTTTGTGCTATTCCCAGACAACCGAATGTACTGGGTGATCAAATGAGTGCAATGCACAAAGGAATCTTCACATTGCCGTGCTATTTATCGCTTAATTGTGCTTGGTTTATCGTCAAAAAACGCATGAAAGCTCTTGCGTTGAACGTTTTGTCTGTGGATTTTCAATCTCTAACAGACGGCCCAATTTGTTGAATCGAATAATACACACAGCGCTTGTAACTCTCTTGATAAATAGTTCCCGTCCAGGCATGCCGTCAAACTATCTATAATCAAAACGTTCGCAGGATGATCAAATGTGTAATGGTCGGTAATCAGGCCACTTCAGGGCAGCAACCCATCGACTACAGTATGAATCAAAATTCGCCATTCCAAAGTTTAGATGTTTATCAGATTAACGTACAGGATAAATTTACGGCACGCTTAAAT